TGCCTCAAATTTTGCCTAAGTTTTGCGTAACTCATGCGCAACCTTAACTTTACGTTAATGCTGCGAAAAAGTTGTGAATACTAGGGATGTACCGAAGCTAAAATTTTGCCGAAGCCGAAGCTTCGGCCGAAGCCACTTTGCCGAAGCCGAAGCTTCGGCACTATATATGCTTAAAATTTAATCAGCATTCAAATCAGCAGGGGTGCAAAACAAAAAAGGTTCCAAAACTAAGATCCTTGACTAATAATATAGAAAAAATGTATAAAAATGAGGACACAAGTCAGGGTTGCTGCCCCAGGCAGGGCAAAAGCTATCAGCGCCCCTGTTTGAAAGTTTCTCATTATGTCGTTTCTGATACTTCACCGCACCTAGTTTTTTTTTTTAAAACTTAAGCTTTTTTGAAACATTCTCCCCAAATTTTCCTACTTCTAGTTCTACTTTTTCTGTGTACAAACCATATTAATGTTATATAGAGCACAATATCAGTAACTCACATATATTTCCAATATATGTGAGTTACTGATATTGTGCTCTATATAACATTATATATCATATACTGATATGCTATTTTTTTGATCTTTTATAGCCATACTGTTCTTCTATGTAAACATCGTTTCTCTTTAATCCTCTATCTAATCATCTAATTTTTAATCCTCTATTTAATTATCTTGTTTGCTCTATCTAATTATAGTGTGCTAGCTGAACATCCTCAATTTTATTCCCTATAAATTACTGTTACGCATCTTTTCATGTGCTGTATATTTTATTTTTATTTTTAATGCACCTTTTGTTAAGAGTGGATAAAAATCTCTAAATATTACTCAAGTAAATTAATCTTTTACACTTGAACGCTCTTTCTCTAAACAAACACTCTTAGCTGATCTAGTTGTATCTACAACATAAAAAATCTTACAAACACACTTTATCTTTTTATTGCTATTTATTTCAATATCTTTTTTTTGCTTCTCTGTATTCATTAAACGAACAATTTCTAAACTAAAAATAACCCCAAGTTAAGACTATTTTGTATTCCACTACAACTGTTGTGAACCTGCTGCTAAAAAAAAAGTACAATTGATAGATTTCTCTCTAACTTCTTTTTTACACACTTTTAAGTTTTTTTTTTTTTTTTTATTATTATTTTTAATTTTACACTACATAACATTTTCTTAAGCTTCTATTAATCTTTTACACCCTGAAATTATAGTATTCATTCTTCTTCTGTCTCTGTAATGGATAAATCTGCATCAGTATCTGAAATCAAATATTAACTATCTGTTACAAAAACTTCTATAGTAATCTAACAATACAGTAGAGTGAGCTTTAAATAAAACAATAAATAGAATACTTTATAAATTTTTCATTTATAATTATATTATTATTTATTTTATATTTATAAATAAACAGGGACTGAGCAGGCTGATATTTATTTGATTTAAATTGTTTATATTTAAATAAATTTTGATGATAAATATAAGAGCTTAAAGTAATCAAAGCTTTAACCTTTAATTTATTTTAAATAAAATTTAAAAGTCTTCATATCATAAGAAGAAACCAGAATATAAGTTTATATGTTTAATATATAAATTCAATTTAGAAGTATTCATAATATTAATAAAAGAGCAAGGATAATTATTATCATTGTTTTTCTTTTTCTTTTAATTTATATAGTTTTGGTTGACTTTTTTTTTCTTTTTTTATTCTCCTCATTTATATTTCATTTGCTTTTCTTCCTTTTTTGTTGTTGAGAACTTTATGTTTTTTATGTGTCACTCCATTGACTAGTTTGTAACTTTATAAGTGACACCTAACCAATTTCTGTAATCTTACGATGAAAATTTGTAAATTTTTATTATTATGGTTAAATAAAATTTAAAAAAATTAAACATACACAGAATTTAAAATAGTAGCAACGTATCTTTAATCTTCTTTAAAGTGAGATTACTAAGGTTTATAGGTCAAATGTTGAAACCAATTTTTGTTCTATTTGCGGTAATCCCACACAAAAATTAATATAAATTCGTTACATAATACAAATTAAGGTTTTTTTTCCATTTTATTTTTAAAAAGTTTTAATTTGTTTTAAATTATAAGGTTTTTATTCTGCATAAAAATGCTGATTCAGTTCATCTAAGTCACACTTGGAAGCCTTCAATGTGTATGAGGACCTTCCTTAATTTTACTATTATATTCAAAATATTTCTACTTATTTATTATCATCCCCTCCATAACAAGACATTTGGGAGTAAACAATACTAAGTATATGGTATAGACTCCAACTTTAACTCTGTAGTCCTGAATTTACAACTTAATTAGACACTGGCAATTAGCATATTTTTATAACTTGTACAACAGTAGCTTATAACTTTAATTACTTAAATTTTTTTGCCGAAGCCAAAGATTCGGCAAAAAATTGACCTGGCTTCGGCCGAACCGAAGCTTCGGCAAAATTGCCGAAGCTTCGGCATGCCGAAGCCGAAGCCGAAGCTTCGGTACATCCCTAGTGAATACCAAATAGTTACGCAAAAAATAATTTGCGTAAGTTTTTCGTATTTTAGCTCAGCAAGAGTTAAAGAAAAGAGTTAAAGAAAAGAGTTAAAGAAAAGAGTTAAAGAATTTTAAGAGTTAAAGAAAAGTTGTGAATAAGCAAGAGTTAAAGAAAAGTTGTGAATAAGCAAGAGTTAAAGAAAAGTTGTGAATAAGCACCCAGATGTAGGAGATATTTAGCTCTTTTATGCGGCGATTTTCATTTAACTTAATTTCCTATTTTGTTTATTTATTTAAATTAAGACTCTGCGAGGGAAAACTTTTGATCTTTTTTTGTTTTGTTAATTTTTAAATTTTGTGTTACGTAATTTATGGACGATCCCTAAGCACAGACTGCTTTTCACTGCTTTTTTTAGAAATATTTACAAAACGTTTAATAAAGTTTAATTTATTTTTTGCCATAAAAACGCTGGTTTAAAAAAAAAATTAACTAACAATTAATTGAAAATGAGATTTTAAGAAATAGTCGAGTTTGATTTGTGTCCTTTGCTAAATGGAAATACGTCCTTTTTTTCTATTTCTCAAAAATCGAATTGATCTTCTCACAACACCAAGACAAATTGCAACATCTCGAATTCGAAAAGGTTATTTCCCAGTGGGCATGCATCGCTTGCGGGATGTCCGTCGGATGTCTTACGGACATCCCCGGACGACTGGGTTGTATATTGCAAAGACTTGGATGTACTGAGAAGAACTAATATTTAAAATATAGGTGAAAACGGGGCAACATGACGAATGGGGCAAGATGGGTTTTCATATAACAACTCAACAAAAAATCTTGAAATTGGGTGAAAACAAAACTGTATTTGCATCTTGTATTTTAAAAAACCAATTGGTTTTTTGAAATATTATTAACGCAATTTTATACGCATAAGTTTACTTTTTGCGCTTAAAAAAAATTCCTTACTTTCGGTTTCTCATAATGAATAGTGTTCTTCAAGTTTAACTTCTTTATAAATAGTTTTTCGCAATTTGTGTTTATTTTTTGCTACATTAGTTAGGGTTATTGGTTGTTTTTAAAATTTTATAAAATTGGATGTAAAAATTGCATTGTAAGTCATCTTGCCTTGGTCTCGTGACCATTTGACAAATTTATGAACTTTTTATTTTAATATTTATTCCAAAATGTTATATTTGCAAACTGAAAATTCATGCTGACAATGAATCATTTTAATAACATAAACATACTGAGAAAGTATTACGGCTTCGCAACTGATAGTTTTGTAAAAACTTGGGGCTTTCAAAACGTTCGCCATGTTGCCCCGCTTTCCCCTACTATAAATATATTGCATTTTCTTTGCATTTTAGATGCATTTATTTTAAGTATTTTCATATAGTTAAACTTAAGAAATATTTTATAAGAATTAAAAATAATTATTTGAATTATTTGCAATAATTTATATAGCTAGGGTAGGATTGTATAAAAAAAAAAAAAAAAAAAAAAAAGGAAAAAAAAAAAAAAAAAAAAAAAAAAAAAACGTAGGCAGGATTGAAAAGTCTAATTCTTAGCAATTTATAAACATTGGTTTATTCTAAGAAAAAACTTTTTGTTTACATTTTTCGTAAATTTATGATTAAAGTTTCTTGGAATCAAGCTGTTTTACATTTATACATAAAAATTAGGTCTTAGTAAATATTGATTTCATATATATTCAACATTTGCATGTCTTTTATTAATGGTTTTGTTCATTTTTGTTTCCTTATATATAAATCTGAATGCATGTTTTAGTAAAGAAAATATTTTTTTAAGTTTTGTTGGTTGAGTACTAGCCCTTGTAATATTGGAATAGTAAATGAGACAATGTATTAGGCCAAAATAAACTAGTTTAAGACTTTCTGATGTTACATATGGACAAACTCGGTACATTAAGCCAATTATTTTACTAATTTTTGATTGAATATAACTTATATTGGAAAGCTATGATAAATTTTCATTAATACGAATTCCTACTAATAAGTGTATCATTTAAAATCAAATCGGCTAATTTTAATTGTCGGCTATTGTCCCCCACCACTACCCCCACCAAAACCACCACTTTGGAAACCGTGACGGCGGCTCTGTAATATGATATTCAGTACTTTTTTAGTTTTAATCTATGAACGGTTTTATAGAGATGTTTAACTTTTAGAAAAAAATTTAGTCGGCCAGTTGGTAATGTGACACATTTAAGTCGGCAGGTTTTTAGTCTTGAGGATCTTTTTTTTCTTAAAATGCAGTCAACTTTTTGAGGAATTGCTTTCATCGTTTTTTTCCTTAAATTCCCACTAAATAAATTGAATTTGTTAAAAAAATAATATTTAATTGATGTGAATTTTAAAAAAAAGTTTTTAAGTTGAATTAAAAGCTAATACAATGAACATTTTTTTCAATTTTATTATTTAGATAAATGACAAGAAACTCTCGGTTTGACTTTTATTGTTTTTCATTTGTTTTTTTTTTTGTTTTTTTTAAATCAATAATTACTTTAGTATTTTTATGTACATTTTTCATGATTTACTTTAATTGATTTCTCTTTGAAAATTAATTAAACTTTGAAAATCTTTTGGCGTCTAAAACTGTGCAAATGAAGAAAATGCAACAGTAAGATTTTTTTTTCACTTTAAACAACTAAAATAAATTTTATTTTGAAAACGAAATGAAAAGGGATGTTTCTTAATAAACTTTTAACTTAAAATTCTATTTTCAGCTTGAGCCTCCTTTATTGTAGATTCTAAGTTAGTTTCGTTTCAAATTTCGTGTTTACTTTTAAAATAATGTTTGTAACTTATATTTGTAACTATTATTATAAATAATTTATCATACGAACATCAAAAGTTTTTTTAAATTTTTATTATAGCAATATACTATAAAACTATTCAGTTATTAAATATGAGGTCAGCTTCACATCATATAATTGTAAGACAAGGTTATATTGATGTTAAAATAGTAAAGAAATCATCGATATTTTCGAAGGTAAATTTTTTATTTTCTGTTACATTCTTTTTTTTAAACGTCATAAGTATTTGCAAAACTTAAAAAAATCAAATACTATTTAACAGTTAATTTAAAATAATCAATTTTATTATTTACAATTGAAGCTACTGCCAGTATTAATTTTATTTAAACATAAAAATATATTTGTCTGTTATTATTACCAGAATTCTTTTTACAAATATTACACGAGACTTTTTACAAATATCACACGAGATTAAGCGTTTAAATTAAACATGCCGTTTTCTATAATATTTGCAATTTTATTCGAGAAATCATAATTAGAGAGATACCCTTAAAATGCGCACACGTTTGTTAGTTAATTTTATAGTTAGCAATAAGAAGTAAAAAAAAAATGGTCTTCATATCATTAAGCGTGTATTGAAACACCAACTTGATGAAAAACAATTTTGTGTTGTGTCTATGTATAGACTTTTGCAAATAAGTAATACTTTTTTTAATAAAAAAAATCTTTTTTAGAATTTGAACAAGACTTATTTGGTTTTGCGTTCTAATCCTTTTGCCCTTGAACTATATGGAAATGAATCACTTACAGACTTGAGTATATCACACAATATTAAATCTGTTAATTTAGTTGAAAAAATTAATAGTTTAAAATCTCATCAGTATGCCTTTAAAGTAGTTATTGAAAGTGAAGAAACTGAGAAATTTATTTTTGGGTGTGTTAGTTCTGTTTTGCAAGATGAATGGATAAATTCTTTCTTGGAAATAAAAAACAGTTTAAAATATGAATACTTATCATTTGAAAATTCTTCGCAGATCACAGAGTCTGGTACTAACATTTTTTTTTTAAATTCAATTTATTCTTTATTTTTGCTCTTTCTATTTTTTGTATCAAATTTTTCATTATCATTTTTGTTGTTGCTTTTATTATCATTATTTTGTTGTTATTGTAATCAATAATAATAATAGTAATAATAATAATAATAATAATAATAATAATAATAATAATAATAATAATAATAATATTTTTATTTTTTAGATTTCAAAGACAAAATAAATAATAGCATTTTTGCTACTAGTGATGAAAGAAAAACAACTGATAGTAATGTTTACAAAAATAAAAATTGTCAAAGTTATTCTTTTGAAAATGGAGTTAGTGGTTATATTCTTGATATGAATGATTCTAACACATTTCGTGATAGGTCATTTTGTATTGATAAAAAGAAAAAAAGAATGAAAAACTTATCTTCGTCAGCTTTGGCTATAAATGATACTTCGGACCATAAACCAGTCAAGGAAAGTAAGATAGGCCAGTTAGAGAATAGGTTAGGATTGGTTACTTCTGGTTTTATGAGCACTATAAAACATAAGAAAGGATTACCTGTTGTTAGCCAAAAGTCTTTTACAAGTACTTCACTTAACAAGTTATCTGAGTTACCTTCAAAAACAGATCCTCGTCGCTCGAGTGAGCCCTTGAAAGTTAAGCTTCAGGTTCATAATGTTTCAAGAGGCTTTCAGAGCTTTGACGATTCTTTAAATAAAGAAGAATCGAAAACTTGCGCAGAAAAAATTGCTGAAAATAACTTGAAAGAATTTCAAGAAAAATTAAGACAAAAGTACTATTTATCAAAGAAAAAAAGTGTATTTAAAAATTTACGACAACAAGAGTTTGATTTGGAGAGAGGACCAGAACCACCTGATTTAGATCGAAATACAAAACCATGTGTAATTTTTTCTAGTACAAAAGATAATGAAAGTTTAACAAAGCTAACTTCTATTGACAATATATCTCCTCCTGTACCAGAAAGAATTTCTTGCCCAACTCCAATTAATGAACAATTTTGTAAAGGAATTAATAGTTCAAAAACTAATTCTGAAGGTGTTAACAAGCCCCTTAATGCAAATAAAGTAGATTTTTCACCTCTGCTTTCTCCTAAAAATTTCTTATATAATGTAATGGATGATGGGAGTATACAAGTTGTTCGTCAATCAATTCAAATAAACAATGAGATTCAATCCATAAAAGAAATATTACCAGACAGAGTTGATGTTTTATTAAATAAAGTAGATGTTTTATCTGGTACTGTAGAAGGAATAATTGAGGTAGTATTTTAGTTTGTTTGTTTTTATTTTAAGAATTTAAATTTTATATTATTTTAAAAATATATATGTGTTATTAAGCTATATTTTTTATTATTATTATTTTAATATTTTATTATAAAGTTATATATGTTTTTTTTAATTTTTTAATATTAGAATAAGAGCTTTAATCAAGTAACAAATTTGCAGCCAGCTGTTTGTAGGAATCAACCAATAAATCTCAAATCAAATGATTGCATGGCTCATCAAAAAAATATGCAATCAGGATTTTTGAATCAACAAATAAATTTGCAACCAACTGATTGCATATATCAGCATGTCAGTTTACAATTAACTGCTTCCGTTGACCAGCATGTCAATTTACAATCAACAAATTGCGCAGATCAGCATATAGATTTACAACCAACTGCTTATACGGATCAGCAAATATCTTTTCAACCAAATAAAATTTGTTTATCACAATCAACAAATCTAACTGTTAACAACAAATCGTTAGAAAGTGTAGATGCTTCTGTTTGTAATGTCAACATCTCAATGCAGATAAATAATGAGAGAAATTTTTCTGGAAGCACTGTCAATAAAATGACTCCATTTAAATGTTTACAAACAGATATTTTTTCAAATAAGTCTTCTAAAATCATAAGTTCTTTACCAAAAACATTTGTTGGACCAACTCAAAGTCAATTTCCTCAATCTAAAAAAAGTTTATTTAAATTTATTAATGTGAACTAAAAAAAAGTTTAAATTTTTCAATTTTTAATGAATTTTTTTTTTTTGTAAATAATAAAGATATTTTAAATTATTTATACATATGTATATATAGTATGCAGTAGAAAATTTATATGTTTTTTAAGTATTTTTATCAGAATTAGTATACAATAATAACTTTTTTTATATTTCTCAAGTACTTTTATTATTTATTTTCATTATTTAGTTCCAATTGTTGCATAATTGGAGCAAACTGTTCTAATTGTTGCATAATTGAAACCAACTGTTCTAATTGTTGCATAATTGGAACAAACTGTTCCAATCGTTGCATAATTGGAACAGTTCTTTTTGGAATTCTTTTTCAAGCAGTTTTTTAAAATTTTGCTTTGCAGTTCATAAAGAAAATAAAATTATCGACTTTAAGTCTTTTTGATTCTTATTTAATTGAAATCAATCATAATTTTAGAAAAAGAACTTCTATATTTCATAATTTAAATTAAAACTGTGCTTACTCGATTCAGAGTCGCACTTTTATGCTGTTGAATGGTGAAATATATTTTTAAAAATAAAAATTTCAACAAAAAAAGATTCCTACTTTTTAATATCTATTTGGTTTAAAGCAAAAAAAAAAAAAAAACACTATGGATCCTTTCTTTAGCGAATTAAACGGATGATTACGTCAAGCATTACAATAAGCTTTAAATTCAAGAATTAGTTGCGTTTACTACTTAAAAAATATTTTTGTTTCGGTACCATAAAAGACCGAAACTATATACTTTCTGAAACCAAAACCAACTGAGAACAGAAATAAACAATATAATACAAAACAAAAAGTAAAGAGTTTATCAACTTTTATTTTCTGATCTTTAAGACATAAAAAGCTTAAAATATTAAATAATTTAGAGCGCAGCGTTTGAGCATATGACCTTTTTTTTATTAATTATATGATTATTTTAAGCATATGAAACTTTTTTTGTTTATTTTTGGAAGTATGGATGGAGAGGGAATCTATTTGCATTAACTGATTTTTGTAGTGATAAGTGTAGCGTGTGCATACATTCAGAAATTTGATATAAGCTTTTTTGAATTTTGTTGATTTACTAAACCAAATAATTCCGCTTCAAAATGTTTTACACGAAATGCTCTAGCTTTAAACAGCGTGTTTCTGCTAGCATTAAATGACTATTTTTATTATCGTAAAAAATGTTTTTCAACCACGCGCGGATGTAGAAATATTTTTCAACCACGCGCGGATGTTGAAATGTTTTTCAACCGTCGATGCGTGGATGAAAAACATTTTTTACAATAAAAAACTTTCTCTGTTGAAAGCTAGACTTTTGTATAAAACATATGGAATTACTTATAGCTTAAAATTACGATTAAAATTATTGACTATAACTTAAAATTCGTCTTCTTTGGGGAGTGGTGAGGGTTTGACACTCCCACACACTCCTTTTATCCACTCCCCCCCCCCCCCT